GTGCACTGGAAACGGTGGACTTGTGGGAAGAGCTCAGCTCTGAGGCTGTGATGCCTGGATTTCAATCCTCCCTCTGCCCCTCCCTCCCTTCTTAACCTTGGGCTCACTGTTTGATCCTGGCCTAGTTGCTTATCTTTTCTGAGTCTCATCTATAAAATGGGGACTTATAACGGCATCTCCCTCCTAAAGCTGTTGTGAGGATTCCATGAACTAATAACAGGTAAAGCTCTTAGAACAGTGTCTAGCACATAGTAGCAACTCAATAAATGTTAGCTACTATCATTATATTGGTAGGTACCCCCTTTTGAACTGATGATTTCTAGAGAAAGTTTGTTCTTCCTGCAAGCTTTGGGTTCCTCTTCTTCCTCACTGAGGTAATTCTTGTTGTTTTGGTTACTTCAATCTCTTGCTATAATACCATTTGTACACCTTGAAGGGTTTATATTCCAATGAAACTGAATCTGCTGATAGACGATATAGGGCATGTTATTTTCTTCACCAGGCATCCTTAGTCATGTTGCCCTGGCACTGAATTGCTAATTTTTTTTTCCTTCTACCAAAGCAGAGTCCTCGTATCCTTGGGGATTATAGGTAAGTGGATTTTGGGTTGCAGGAGAAAGTACAGTGATGCAAGACAAGAGGTACAGGTGGAAAACAAGTTAAAGGGGCAGTATTACTACTAGTGCAGGTGGTTCTCACCAGTATTTATGGCAGTCTAACTAATGTGGTGCAATTCAAACCAAGAACCACTATTGGCCTTGATGTCAAAAGGCATGGATTCAGGACTCCATTCTTTACTTAGTAGCTGTGTGGTCTTGGGTGAGTATTTGACTTCACTGAGCCTCGGTTTCCTCACCTGTAGAAAGACAGGATGGCTCTGAAGCTCTGTGAGTATAATATTGGATGTTCTGATGTGGCCATGAACATGGGCACTGGCTCACACGCCAGGAGTTCAATGTGAGTGGGAAGTTGGTTACCTGAGAATACAGGTATCTTCTGCCACATTAAAAAAATTAATGTGCTTGATTTTTGTTGGAAAATATTGAGCATCTCTGTACATGGCAGGAGAAATGAAAGGAGGTAGGAAGGAGGTCTGTAGGGAAGACAGCTGGTGGGAGTTGTGGTGGGCGCATAAGGGGCAGCCTTGGTAAAATGGATCAGGCTACTGTGAGGGGTTATCCTTACTTATGTATTTTCAAATCGTGGATCCAAGCCTAAATTATATTATAAAAAGGGACAGCTTTTTTAAAAGAATCATCTAGGAGGATTAGGTTCTTGTCCAGGATGATTCTTGGGTCATCTGGAAAAACAGCTGCAGCTACACGGAAAAATGACAAATGATCAGAAACAGGGAGGCAGGTAGGGGCTGGGCTGGGGAATGCCTACATCCTCAAGGCGCGAAGAACCAGAACAGTTTCTATTTCTGGAGACAAGAGCCTGAGCTGAAGAGGTTAAAGCAGTCTGAGTGCATCTGAGTTCATTCCAGAAGGGTGGAGACATTCAGTGCCACAGATGAGGCACCAACGGGCTCTGCACATTGCTTGCAGGCGTCCACAGCACTAAGGCCCAGCCAGGCTGACTGGGGGAAGAGGGACAGGCAGAGCCTCTGACCCCAAACAGCTGCATCTTCCCACAATGAAGACACTGGTTAGTGTTGGAGAGTTGCTTTCAGCTACACCCTGACCCTCAGGAAATTTGCCGGCTCTTTCCTTGTTCCTCTTGTTTGATCCAAAGAAACTCGGATTTCTTGATGGAAAGAACAGGTTGCTCCTGGCTAGGAAGGGCCTGCAGCTGCTTGTCTTTGCTCCAGCGAGAGTCCACCCTCTCTAGGAGGAAGGAGGCTTTTGGCTTTGAGGACCTCCCAGCCACTGAGGCGGCTGGGCAGCCGAGTTTCAGTGGCAGCCTAGACCAAGGTCTGAGCTCCCCATCTGCTCTAGTCATTTCTGATGAGCAGAGGGGAATAGGATTCTGAACTTCCACATGGGTGACCTTCACTTTCTGGGAGTTAGTTTTATCCTAATCAACATGTGTCAGTAGACAAGATCATCCTCAGGGGTTTTCCATTCTAAAAGTAGATCAGTCTCTGTGTTCCTTTTATAACCCAGAGGGCCAGAAGGGACTGAGCACCCTGGGATTGGGGAAGGAGCAGAGGCTTAAGGCACTGGTACAGCCTGAGTTCTAGGTGAGAATTGGCCCTTCCCCAGAGGAGGAAACTGAGGCCCTGAGGAAAGAAGTGATTTGCCCAAAGTCACACATCTATCTACTTAGTGATGGGACCAGGACCAGAATCCAGGCTTTTTGGTTCTTTTTTTTTTTTTTAAAGATTTTTTTATTGGGGAATTGGGGGGATGGGAACAGTGCTGGGGAGTTGGGGAAAGGGGAACAGACAAGTTGCTGTCGTTTTTGTTCTTCAGTCTAGTTGTGGAGGACGTTGCTTCACTGGCCCAAGTTGGCACCATCATTGCGCTCTTCTCTGGCGAGGCAGATCAGTTGCCGGCTTCTGGACGGCCGCTCACTGCGGCTGCTGGCCGCTCACGCTGGCTGCTGGCCACACACGGTAGCCCATGGCAATCCACTGCCACAGGGACTGCAGCCCACGCCGTCGCCGGCGACTCATGGCAGCCCAGCTCCAGGTTGAGCTGTTGTTCAGCATCTTAGCTGTAGAGGGCAGTGTCACTGGCCCTCATATGTGGGATCCGAACCGGGGCCCTCTGGCATCCCAAGCGAGTTCTTAACCGTCGCGCCACTCGGCCGGCCCCAGGCTTTTTGGTTCTTATTCCTGTGCCCTCTCTCTTATGTAGAGCAGCAGTGAGTGTACATGGTGGCCCCGAGGCAGTGTAATATGCTTGTTCTATAGGCTGTGACCACCAGGCTAGAGTTTCCAGAGGCTACCACCTTAGTGGGGATCCTGTACTGTAGCATCCAGGGACATGTGGGCCACATTGCCCATCCCCCCTTAATTATGCCCCTGCATGAGCTTTCATTCCTGTCTTCCTCATCTTGGGCCCCTTTCTGCTGTATTCACAAGCTGGTCCATATCACTCAATTCTGCTCCTCAGCAGTCATGAGCTTCCCCTCCCAAGCTTTGACAGCAGTTGTCTTTAGATTTCAGAATTCTGGGGAAGGAGAGGAGAGTGAGCCTTTGGAGAAGAAAGGGTAGTTAAGAAGGGAAGGGAATTTGAGTTTCTCCCCACGGGGCTCCCAGAAGTGGAAGAAGTGCCCTGAGCGAGCACAGGATAGCAGATCCAGGCTGGGCACGCGTTGTGCCTGTGGGTTGACTTGGTTCAATCTGATCATCCTGGCTGTTTTCTGGCCAGAATAACTGTTAACTCGTTAGGAGGTGTAACTATCACCTGACCGTGGGAAGCCAAGTTTGACTGCTCAGGTGGTAAACTTCTGAGTGCTTTGGATTAAATTTTGCTGACTTTCTGTACTATGACCACTTTTCCTAAGCCCCCTGGCCCCACTAACTCTGCTGCCCACCTTTTCCCCATGTCAGCATGTACCTGCACACACACACACACACACACACACACACACACACACACACACAGCTCTGAAGAGAATGAAATTGAGAACAGCTCTGTGTGTGTGTGTGTGTGTGTGTGTGTGTGTGTGTGTGTGTGTGTGCTTATGTAAATACCTCGGCTCCCAGGGGAGAACATGCACAGCTCTTTCTCCAGAGAGTTAGCTCAAGAGTTGCTGGGCAGTCAGCTGTGACATGGTGGAAAGGGCACAGAGTGTCTCATCATACAGACCTTGAGGCCAAATTTCTGCCAGAGACTTGAACCTCTCAGAGTTTCAGCTTCCTTGTCTGTGGAAGGTGATAATAGTCATTATACCAGTGGGATGCTGTGACCATTCAGTAGGGTCATGCATGTGAAATGCATGCACAGTGTCAGCAGTTCATACATCATCGCCGTCATTAAGTATGATCATGAGTCTCAGTTTCTGTTTTTGACAAGCAAGTATAATAATATATCTGCCTCCTAAGACTGTTGTGGGGATTAAATGAGGTGATACATGTAATAGTTTCCTGTCAATTGTAAAATTCCCCGCACATTAAAGGCAAGGATATAATGAAGAAAATGCCAGCATCACCAATTTAACAGGGTCTTCTCAAGAGGAACAGAATTGGTGTGCAAGTATCTTATTCTATTTCTAATTCCTGGGCTCTTGAGGTATCTCGATGTGTTGCTGGTCCATAAGGCTCAGTAAGTTCTTGTGATATCCATCCCAGGAACCTCATTTTGCCTTCCACACTCCCTGGAAGTGCATCCTGTCAGGGTTGCTACTGGAAGCCCTACCTCCTGATGCAAATTACGTTTCAGTACAAGAGAGAGCTTCCTGCTTAGGCCACAATCCATTTAATTTGTTTTTTTCTTGGCAGCCGTTGAGCTCATGGTCCCCTTGAGCTTCTATAGCAATTGAGCTGTGTCTGGATGGGGCTTGTGTCTACCTTTCTCTGCCTCCTCCTAACCCAAAGAAGCCAGATCTCAGGCATATGTGGGCCCTTGGTCACTGACCTTTTGGTTGAGAGCCTGAGCTTAATTCATGGTTGTCCGAAGATAGTCACTCAGCCACGACCGAGGCTGCACAGAACTTACTGAATGGAGAGGGTGCTTGCCTTCCACCCACACCTGCCACAGTTAGGCATGACCAGAGCCTCACCCAGCGGTGGGAGTTGCCTGGAAGGCCAACTCTATATAAAGCAGTGGGCCTTGTAGTTTAATTTTGTACCTCCTAATTTCCTCCCACAGGACCTACCTGGATAGGATTTGTGAACCACAGAGCTTTCTTCCTGAGGCCTCCTCCCTCAGCGTGGGTTGATTCCATGAATAGCCCCAGAGCCTCCTGGGAAAAAGAGCCTGGCTGAAAAGGTGCTGCGCCTGGTTAGGCTTGGAATGAGGATGAGCTAGAATGCTGTTTCTTCTTCTCAGGTCTTTTCTGTTACCATCTCTAACTTCTGGCTGGCTTCTGCTTCTCCTTTGTCCTGGCAGGACCTGTGTGGAGCCACCACCTGTGACACGCTGGGCATGGCTGATGTGGGCACCATGTGCGACCCGAAGAGAAGTTGTTCTGTGATTGAGGATGATGGGCTGCCATCAGCCTTCACCACTGCTCATGAGCTGGGTAAGCCTGGAGGTGTCTCTTGGATGGGGTAGGAGAGTTCCCCTGTGGGATCTTTTTGGGATTCCCTGGGTACATGGGTGGATGGTAGACACATGGACATGTTTTTATTCCCTCATGTCCTGAAGCCTTAGGGATCATTTCTCAGGGTCAGAGTCTTCTCGAGCAATGACTTTGTTTAATTTTCTCCGATTGCTCCAGTCCAGTTGGTCAGTGGTATTGTCTGAGAACGTTAGCAGTCAGAGTATCTCATCAATTGAACACTGACGGGAAAGTATGTTAAATACATTGCTGTCCTCATTGAGGCCACAGCCTGATGGATGGGATAGAGAACACAAGCACATGACCTCGGGGACATTTGCAAAGTAACCTATCAATAGTTAGAAACGATCAGCCTGAAAACCATTGACACGAGCTCTGTAGCTTTCCCAGCGGATCGTCCCTGCACTCACCCCCCATGCCTTCTAAACTGCATAGCCCACTGAGTCTTCTTGTCTCGCCCCACAGGCCATGTGTTCAACATGCCCCATGACAATGTGAAAGTGTGTGAGGAGGTGTTTGGGAAACTCCAAGCCAACCACATGATGTCCCCAACACTCATCCAGATTGACCGTGCCAATCCCTGGTCAGCCTGCAGTGCTGCCATCATCACTGACTTCCTGGACAGTGGGCATGGTAAGCCAGGGTGACAGAGGACGAGCATCAGTGCTGTCATGTTGGCAGTGCTCAGCACCTCTTTGGACCTGTCCTCTGTTACCTAAGGTGTGCATGACCCCAGAGAGTTGGGCTTCATTGTGGGTCCATTGCATTACCCCTTGCTTCATTCTCTCCTTACCATTTAGATAACCAAGCCTCCCCATTTCCAGCTCATCCCTAATGAATACCCTTGGCTCTCTGCAGGCGACTGTCTCCTGGACCAACCCAGCAAGCCCATCGCCCTGCCTGAGGATCTGCCAGGTGCCAGCTACACCCTGAGCCAGCAGTGTGAGCTGGCCTTTGGTGTAGGCTCTAAGCCCTGTCCCTACATGCAGTACTGCACCAAACTTTGGTGCACCGGCAAGGCAAAGGGGCAGATGGTTTGCCAGACCCGCCACTTCCCCTGGGCAGATGGCACCAGCTGCGGCGATGTCAAGTTCTGCCTCAAGGGGGCATGTGTGGAGAGACACAATCTCAATAAGTACAGGGTGAGTGTGCTGGAGGGGAGTAGACTCTGGAGGCTTCTACAGGGAACCTGTCCCACCCCAGATTTGCTATGTGACCATAACTGTATCACATTGCTGCTCTCTGTTGCTCTATCCCCTTCTTGACTCTAAGACTGGAGAGAAAATATATGGTAGGTCAGAGAACTTGGTGAAGCCTTAGGCAAGTGGGGAAAGCCCTTCAACCAGAGTGAGGACCCCAGAGCTGAGCTCCGTGCCTCGGCCTACCTGGGGAGGAGGTCTGGACCAAAGCTGAACATTTGATATAGTCAGAGTTGATCACTTGTTTTTTCCTTTTTGTTCTTCCCTCATCACATCTTTCTGAGTGTGTTCCATTTCCAGGGACCTGTGGGCCAGAGATGAACAAAGTTCAGAACTGAAAGGAAGCAGACCCTTGAGCAAGCTTTAGTAATATGCTGCACCCTGAACCAAGCTTCAGCTTCTGTTTTGTGAAGCTGAAACATAATTGAACAAAAGTTACTTTTCCTAATAAGTAGCAATAGCAGTCACACCAGAACAAACTCAAAACCTCAAATATTCTCTGAATATAATAACAACTTTCTATTCTTTAGGTCCTGGCTTGGGGTAGTAAAGAAATTTGTACTTTTCCAGGCAGGAATAAGAAGTCTCTCCTCTCCCTTGATGCTAGTGAGGCTCATCCCTTCTCCACCCCGGCCCGGCTGTAAGAAGGCTTGGCTTTGGGTTTTATGTGCACAGAGGCAGTATAATAAAAAGCATTCTCCAAACACTTTAGCAGTTGTCCTGAGATGGGTGTGGCACAGAATTATGTAAAATATTTTTCTGTGTTCTGGGAATATATATTTAATTAAACCTTCAGCCATTTATTAGGCAACAACCTACTGTGTTCAGGGAATTGTATAAGATACAGTGGTGGTCAGAAAAATAAATGAAACATGGGCCATGTCTCTGAGGGCTCACAGGCTAGTGCGGAAGCTAGAAATGAAACTGGAATGCAAGACACAGAGAGGTGCGTGTTATGTGTTAAGACAAAAGTATGCAAATGTATCATTGGAGACTAGGGGCTAAGAGATCAATGAACATTAAAGGCCAGAAAAACCTTTGATGAGGGGGTCAGGTTTGAAGAGAGCCTCGAGGGATGAGTAGGAAAGGATGAAGTAGAAATGGAGCAAAGTCAGGGAGGTGGGGCAAGCTAGAGGGGGTGAGGGGTGGATGAGAATCATCTTTGGGAAGATGCTTTGGGGCTGGATTGCAGTTGCCTTGATCACCAGGGTGGTGTATTTATACCGGAAGGTCCTGAGAGCAGGCTAGTCACGACCAGCTCCTGCTCTTGAGAAGATGAGCCAAGAGGATAAGGAGACAGTCAAGAGGATGTTGGATACAGGAAAATGTGATCTGAGAAGCACAACCTTTCCACATGCTTTCTGGAATTCTCAGTCCATCAGCAGCAAAATCCACTATATCCTCAACTTCTTTTCTGAACAGTCCCTTTACTACCCAGTTTTAACTGAAACCTAGCCCTTCCCATAGCACACTGTCCTAGTCAGCCAAGGTCAAACACAAAGCTTATCTTGCTAATCACCACAGCCCCCCAGTGATCTCAGTTGCAAGAATGCCACTGTGACCACCAAGGCCCGGTTTTCCCAGTTCACTCCCTCTAGTGTTTGGGCTCCAACAATTTTTCAAACCTATCTAGACATACAGTCAATTGATCCAATCATTGTTCCATTATCCCTCACTTGGCTCACCAATATCTTTATTGAGCTGGAATTTCATGGTCCATTGTTAAAATCACTCCTTCACATATACTTTTGCCTTCCATGCCCCTGTCTTTATCATACTCTTGTGGATAAGCCACCACCCTGGTGGAGTCTGACTCTCTCATCTACTCATTTGTGCCAGTATAGGTGTATATGGCTGAAGAAAGACATGCAATCATGCTCACTGGTCTCAATTTAAATTCATGACCTGGAAAGGTGGGCCCATAATGCTGCCCAGGAGTCATATCATATTTTATTTCACTCGCCTAACCTCCTAAACTATTATTTCACATCTTCACCATCTTTCTCCTCCCCTCCTTTCACCAACCCTTTCTTTCTCGTTTTCACTTTGACAGTGACCTTTTTTCCTATTTCATTAAGAAAAAAGAAGCAATAAAGTAATCAGAAAAGAATTTCTACCAACTTTTCCACTACATCCACTGACCTGCTTCTGTGCCCATATATTGTACCTTCTTCCCTCTTTGACAACGGATGAGCTGTCCGTGCTCTTATCCGAGGCCAGTCTTTGTGCTTTGCACTGGAACACTTTCTCTTCTCGTCTATATGAGGCAAGTGCTCTAACAATTTTCCCCTCTCTCCCCCGTCGTATCAGACTTTGCTCTCTCTTGAGTTGAATCATTCCTATCAGGATACAAACTTGCTGTAATTTTTCCTGTCTAAAACAAAACTTCTCATGATCCTACTTCTCCATGCATCCCAGTCTAATCTTTCTGACTCCGTTTACAGCAAAGATTCTTGAAAGAGTTGTATAAACTTGCTCTGCCCAAGTCCTGTCTTGACATTTTTCTCTGGAGCTCGTTCCAATTCAGGCTTTCCCTTACACCATTTCTTCAAAATGACTCTTATTAAGGCGACTAATTGGCCTCTACAGTGCTAAAATCAATGATTGGTTATCATGCCTCGTATTACCTAACCTGTTAACAGCATTTGTACGTTGACCACTGTCTCCCCTGGGAACACAGTTGTCACTGTCCTTTGGTTCCCTCCTCCCTTCCAGGCTGCTCCTTCTCAGCCTCCTTTACCAGCTTTCCTTCACACTCTTGTTTTCCCAATGTCAGAGAGCTCCAGGGCTTAGTCCCTACTTTTACTCACTATTCACACTAATTTCTTAGGTGATTCATCTAGACAGCTGGCTTTAAATACTATTTCTATTTCTACGTTGAAGACCCCCACGTTTGTACCTTCACCCCAGACCTCTCTCCTGAACTACAGACCTGAATGTCCCACTGAATCGTGATCTCTCCATTTGGATAACTGATAAGCATCATAAACTTAACATCTGGGAGACTGTGCTCCTGATCATCTCCCCTCAACCTGCTTCGGTGACTCCATCTTCCAGTTGCTCATACCAATACCCTTTTTCTCTCACATAATTCACATCCAATATCTCAGCGATTCCTGTGGACTGTATCTTCAAAACAGATCCAGGATCTAACCGTTTCTCACCACCTCATCTGCTGTCAGCTGGTCCAAACCACCATCACCTCCCCCTTGGGTTATTGCTCTCTGACTGGTAAAAAAAAACATAGCGTTGTCTCAGAAGCCACAGAAACAATGTTAAGTACTGCAGAAAAACTGGAGACGACAAGGCCTAGGCACAGACTCTTTCAGTTTTTAGGTCATTGCTGACTGAGAGCAGCTTCCATGGGGATGAAACCCATATCGCAAGGCACTGAGTGGGGAGGAGGTAGAGAGAGCAAATGTAGACGTCTCTTAGAAGTGAAAGGATGGAATGAGGTGGAGCACCAGTGTGAGGAGGAAGCAGTGCTAAGGGAATTTTTTTCTTTTACAGGATGAAAGAAACATGTTGACACAATGAAATAAGAACTATCTGACAGGAGGACAGATAGAAAAAATATGTTGAATATATACATAAGTTAAAGTATTTATGTTGCATGAAGCCAGTTTCTAATTAGCTCCATCTGGGTTAGTGGCCTTGGATGATCTGTGACAGCGTTTTAATCCCAGGCTTGTACAGTGGGGCTGCTTCCTCTATTGCCCAACTGATGTGTGTTTAGGGGGATAGAAACTCACTTTACTGTCATCATAAGGCAAACATAATGAAGACTATAAGTTTTCTATCCCCTCTTCACCCTCTTAAAAAATAAGGCAACACTGCATAATTCATCCCAAAGCCAAATAGAGTTTTAAGATTGCTTAATAGTCTCATATGTCTATCTCTTCTTAGCACAAACATTAGGACTGCTTGTAGTGCAACTTTCAAATTCAGCCCCTGATTAAGGTTCAGTCTGGTTTGGTGAAAAGTCTGAATTATAGAGCATTTACAGACAAAAATATTCTGATATCTGTGGTGACAAGGTTTACTGGCAAGGCTGGGGGCTGGCCATGCCTCAGATTTGGAGACTCTTATAAATATACTAACAATAAATAAGGAGAAATTTTGCACTCCTGCACAGTGGCGAGCACGGTGCTAAGAATTTTCATGCACATTGCATCATTTAAATCTTCTGTCTGACCACACACCTGAGTATTATGGACCCCATTTTTGCAGATGAAGGACCTGAAACTTGAGGTTTTCTTACTTGCTCAAGACCACTCATGTGGTGAGGGCAGAGGAGGTTGTAGAACTTGGCTGCCTGACTCCACAGCCCAAGGTGCCTCTCTTCCGAGTGGCTTCATTTATACCTGTGAGCAGTTGGCATTTGCTAATTAATAGGCTGAAGTGTTGTATGGGCCCTGTGCACACTGATATTTGCTTGTCACGTTTTCCTCGGTGATACAAAGTGGATTTCATTCTGGTGGGATGGGACCGTGGAGGTTGTACCAGTGTTGCTCTTTTGTAGGCTCAGGGTGTGGGTGTGGCACCCCAACATCTGCAAGAGTATAACAGACTCTTTCTCACAGGTGGATGGCTCCTGGGCTAGGTGGGAGCCCTACGGCCCCTGCTCTCGCACCTGTGGCGGGGGAGTGCAGCTGGCCCGGAGGCAGTGCAGCAACCCCACCCCTACCAATGGGGGCAAGTACTGCGAGGGAGTGAGGGTGAAATACCGATCTTGCAACCTGGAGCCCTGCCCCAGCTCAGGTGAGAACAGTGGTGGCCTGGGCCTGGGGAAGGACAGGCTGGAGGTTACAGCCCCCACTCTGGGTAATTTACGGCCCCAGAGTTACTGCAATCAAGATTCTATGCCTTAGGACAGAGCCCAGAAGTGCACAGGTGCACATTCCTCTTAGGATCATTTCCTGTCTACTCCCTTGGCAAGGGTGCTTTCTTCAGGATGCTTAGATTGGGAGGCTAAACGGCCCAGGGAAATGACACACTAGAAGTCCCCTTTGTAAGCCCATCTTCATAAACAAGAATTCTTTATCCAGGGCCCAAGACCTTGGCTGGGAAGAAAATTATATCTCTATTTTTACTAACCTTTTTTTATTTAAAATTTAGAATTTTCTTCAGTTAGAAATTTAGTATTGTTTTTTACTAGCCTTTCTATCTAAAATTTAGCAGTTCTTTTTTCTTTTTTTTAAATTGTGGAATTGGGGGAGGGGAACAGTATTGGAGAATTGGAGGAGGACCAGCCAAGTGCCAAGTTGTTGTTCTTCAATCCTAGTTGTGGAGGGCGCCGTTCATCTGGCTTCCCGTTGGCAGCTCATGGCCTCTAAGCTCAACGTGCTGTGTTACAATAATAGTTGGGGATGGGCATAGCCACCATCCCATGCGGGAGTCGAACTGGCAGCCTTGTTGTTAAGAGCACATGCTCTATCCACCGAGCCATTGGGGCGGCAGCTCAGCTCAAGGTGCCAAATTCAGTCTTAGTTGCGGGCGGGCGTAGCCCACCATCGAACAGGCAGTCTTGTTGTTAAGAGCACGTGCTCCCACCAGCTGAGCCGTCCTGCCATGTGTTGGTAGCTCAGTGGCAGCTCAGCTCGGGCTCAGTGTCACTGGCCCATGTGGGAATTGAACCGGCGGCCCTGTTGCTCAGAGCTCGTGCTCTTAAGCTAATTCTTAACCAACTGAGCCACTTGGCCAGCCCAGTACTTATTTTAATTAGGCAACAAATTACAATATTAGTAGTAGCAGTACCCGTGACCTTGTCACCAGAAAAATCATGGACATTTCATAGGACATTTTAGTTGTCGCAGATTACTCAAAATTCCATTTATGCTTGTCACTACTTCAAAAATGCAGTGGTTATAGACTCATTATTGTCTTGTTATTTAATGTGTTAACAAGGAAACATATCACAAATATGTTTCAGAATATATTGATAGTTATATTGTGTTGTTGGAAAAGTCATGATGCATATTTGCGACAGATGGCACTAGTTCATTTTTGGAAATACTAGAGTCATTCGCATCTATGTTATTGCTATGTCATTTGACAGCTGACAGTTCTAGCTTCATTTAAAAAAATTGGTTGAGTTTTGAAATTTTACAACAAATTGAAGATGGAAGACCACAAACTGCATTTTTGCCATATTTTACTGTTTTACTTCCATAAAGGGAAGAACGCGGGTCAAGCTTGTGAAAAGTTGCATAAAGTTTACGGTCACAATGCTCTCTACAAGAACATCAGTGCCAACAATGGTTCACGAAATTCCGTGCTGGTGATTTTGATCTCAACGATGCTCCTTGGTCAGGGAGGCCCACTGAGGCTGATGACGACAAAATAAAGGCATTGATTGAGTCAAACCCACGTTACACTACACAAGAGATTGCAGAAACATTGAGCATCCATCATTCAAGCATTCATGACCACCCGAAGAAGCTGGGATACATAAGCAAGCTTGATATTTGGTTTCTGCATGAACTCAAAGAAATTCATTTGTCGGCACGTACAAACATCTGCAATATACTCATTAAACATGAGGAAGATGATCCTTTTTTGAAGCGACTGATAACTGGTGATGAGAAGTGGATTGTTTACAACAATGTGGTGCGCAAACGGTCTTGGTCCTGACATGATGATTTGCCTCAAACGACATTGAAAGCAGACATTCATCAGAGGAAAGTCATACTCTCAGTGTGGTGGGATTTTAAAAGTGTGTTTTTCAAACTCCTACCAAGGAACCAAACAATCAAGTTGAATGTGTACTGTTGGCAATTGGACAGGTTGAATGAATTTATCATCCAGAAATGTCCAGAGCTTGTTAATTGTAAAAGAGTTGTGTTCCATCATGACAACGTGAGACCACACACAAAGTTTGATCACCTGTCAAAAATTATTGGAGCTTGGATGGGATGTGTTGCCACACCCACCATATTCGCCTGACCTTGCGCCATCAGACTTCCACTTGTTTTGCTGTCTTCAAAACTCCTTGCATGTCATAACGTTCAGTTCAGATGAGGCTGTAAATCAGCACCTTGTTCAGTTTTTCGCCAATAAAGACAGGTCCTCCTATGAACGAGGAATTATGAAGCTCACTGAAAGATGGCAAAAGGTTATCAAACAAAATGGGCAATATATCATTGATTGATCTTTGTTCTTTATATAAATCAGTGACCTTTGAAAAACATAGACAAAATACATCATGACTTTTCCGACAACCCAATATATCGATATAATTGGTATTCTTTGTAATGTACATAATTTATTTTATACATTTAATAACATTCTGAAAATAGTTTCAGTAGACTACTGAAGGGTATAGCACAGAGGATTAGGATACCTGTTACAACGGGGGTTTAAGGCCAGACTCCTGGAGAAGGTGGCACGGTACCTGGGTGATAACGTTATCATCTGCGCCCTTCATCCTGTGCTTCCAACCTGCTTTAGTTCTTTAAGGTGGGGTGGCTTCAGTGCTGAAGAAATCACAAGAGCTGAGGATCACTCAGCTGAGGGTGAGGAAGACCTGTTTAGAGCCTCAGGAGGCTGAGCACCCCCAGGAGGGGTCTCTCCTTTGCCCCCACCTGAGCCCCTCCTTTAATTTTTTACACATACTCTCTCCCTCCCCAGCCTCTGGCAAGAGCTTCCGGGAAGAACAGTGTGAAGCCTTCAATGGCTACAACCACAGCACCAACCGGGTCACCCTTGCCGTGGCGTGGGTGCCCAAGTACTCAGGTGTGTCTCCTCAGGACAAGTGCAAGCTCATCTGCCGAGCCAACGGCACTGGCTACTTCTACGTGCTGGCACCCAAGGTGAGTGATCCTGGGGCAGGAGTTCAGAGCAGGTTCAACATCTTTTGGCGAGCATCCAGTTGAGCTGCCTTTCTCTCTTTTTCTCCCCTTCCTGGGAATGCTGCAGGTGGTGGACGGCACGTTGTGTACCCCTGACTCAACCTCAGTCTGCGTCCAGGGCAAGTGCATCAAGGCTGGCTGTGACGGGAACCTGGGCTCCAAGAAGAAGTTCGACAAATGTGGGGTGTGTGGGGGAGACAATAAGAGCTGTAAGAAGGTGACAGGACTCTTCACCAAGCCCATGTGAGTTATAGGCCTTGGAGGGTATGGTCAGGGTGCAGTGGGGAGGAGGAGTGAGTGGCATTGCGTCCAAGCATGGGAAGCTTGGGTAAAATTGGGGTAAACATGAGTACCCTTGCTGTGGAGGCCACTCACACTCTTCTATGATCTTCATTCATTCATTCATTCATTCATTCATTCAGCAAAGATGAATGGAAAAATGAATGCTCGAGGCAGACATTATTTAACAGGAGATGGTATTCAGGGAGCTGGCAGAGAGTTGTTAGGGTCTATCTAGAGTCCTACAGTAAGAATGACCCGGGTTCAAATCTCAGTTCCCCATTTTCTGGATGATTTTGGGCAAGTGACGCAGTCTCTACAATAATAGATTTCTTCGTTTATAAAATGGGGATGTCACTAATATATTTCATGTAGTGATATTGTGAGGATTAAGGGGGTTAATTCAAGTAAAATGCTTAGCATAGTACCTGGTACATAATAAATGTTTACTAAATGTTCACAATGATGGTAACAAAATGTAACTATACTGGAGGCAAAATGTGACAGCCTCCCCATCTCTCTGAGCCTGAGTCCTGGCCTTGGAGACCAGATTGAGGTGAGAATGGCGCTAAACTATAGAAAGAGGGAGAGTGAGAGGCTGGGACTGAAGGAATCCCCCCTTCTGAGACCTGTGCAGGGATCAGCTGAAGAAATGTCTCTGGGTCTCTTCTATTCCCAACTCCAGAGCCTGGGTCTCCCCAGCTTGAGCTTTCTGAGGTCCAGCACATTCCTTTTTATTTTCCAGAGAAATGCAGTCCTTTGAAAGCCTTGACCCCTGTTCTGGGAGCAGCTGGGGCAGGCAGAGTCCCTGGGATCTCATTTCAGGGGCAGGTATGGTTGGCTCTAAAAACTTGGGAGTCCAGGTGCTGATGATGGCTAGCCAGGAGCCTTGGCTGCCCCTACCCTGGACATAGGACCCTCTGCTGAGCCCCTAGGTGAACAACTTCTCTGGTAGCCTGGGCACTGCAGGCAGGTTGTGTCCTAGGCTATCCTTCCTATGGATCTGCAGTGGGGAGGCCAAGTGAGGAACTAAAGGTCAATACCTCCCGACTTGCTTCACTGGTTAAATGGCAGGTGTTCCTTTCATAGACGATTGGAGCTGAAGGAACTTTTGAAATCATCTCATTTAACCCACTCATTGTATAGATGAGGACACCAGAACCCAGATAGACCGGCTTTCTTACAGCCACCAGGGAATTGGCGTTTCTGCCAAGTCTTGATCTGGGTCCCTGATTCTAGGGCCAGTGTGTCTGTCTGCATTGAGGCCCCAGCCTTGGACTCAGGGACTACAGACACATCTCCTCTTCTTCCCCCTTTTTCGCCTCATCTTCCTCCTCCTCATCTTAGATAATATCTATTGAGTGCATACTGTGTGCCAGGCGTTGTAGCTTATTTAATCCTAATTACAATTCAACGAGTTATGTGTTGTGATGATCTCTATTTATAGATGGGGAGACTGAGAAGCCAGGTAACTTATCTAAGGCGAACAGCTAGGTGTGTGGTAGGGATCCCTTTGACTCCAATACTTCTGCTTCTACTCCCATACTAGAATTCACCAAAATATAAATGTATTGAAGAGAAAAGATCATGAGGCAGTATAACCAGCATATTTAGTTCCAGATGACCTGATGACCATCTCCTTCTGCCGTTTTTAGCTTGTGTGCCTCCATGGGCCCCTGAGGCAGCATGGTTAGTCTTGGTTCTCTGCCCTGTTCAGGACTTCCCCCAGGCCTTGTGAAAGGGCAATCATTTGTGACTGTAGAGGGAACAAGGTCCTTACGTGCAGGCACCTGTCTAATGCACAACTGCCTTCCCACCACAGGCATGGCTACAACTTCGTGGTGGCCATCCCTGCAGGTGCCTCCAGCATAGACATCCGTCAGCGTGGCTACAAGGGGCTGATTGGAGACGACAACTACCTGGCCTTGAAGAACAGCCAAGGCAAGTACCTGCTCAATGGGCACTTCGTAGTGTCACCTATGGAGCGGGACCTGATGGTAAAGGGCAGCCTGCTGCGCTACAGTGGCACAGGGACGGCGGTGGAGAGCCTGCAGGCCTCCCGGCCCATCCTGGAGCCGCTGACTGTGGAGGTCCTCTCGGTGGGGAAGATGACGCCACCGCGGGTCCGCTACTCCTTCTATCTGCCCAAAGAGCCTTGGGAGGACAAGTCCTCCCATCCCAAGGCCCCGCGGCCCCACTCTGTGCTTCACAACAGCGTCCTCAGCCTCTCCAATCAAGTGGAGCAGCCGGACGACAGGCCCCCTGCACGCTGGGTGGCAGGCAGCTGGGGGCCTTGCTCCACGAGCTGTGGCAGTGGGCTGCAGAAGCGGGCAGTGGTCTGCCGTGGCTCCCTGGGGCAGCGCACAGCATCTGCCTGTGACACAACCCATCGGCCAGTGGAGACAAGAGTCTGTGGCGACCCTTGCCCGACCTGGGAGCTGGGTGCCTGGTCACCCTGCTCCAAGAGCTGTGGCCGGGGCTTTAAGAGACGTCCACTGAAGTGTTTGGGCCATGGAGGGCGGCTGCTGGCCCGGGACCAGTGCAACCTACGCCGGAAACCCCAAGAGCTGGACTTCTGCATCTTGAGGCCGTGCTGAATAGGACCGTCCCTTTCTCCTCCTCACTGTCCACTCCATTGGTGCTGCCAGTGTTCTGGCCAGCTGGAGCCGTGGGCCAGGGGCGGTGTCCGGGGGGCCCATGCCATGATGTCACCACATCCAGGGACAAGGATCATGGGTGGGGGTGAGCGGTCCCCTCCTTCTCTCTGGCCTGGGCAGGGAGCTAAGTAACTAATGCACAGTCTACCTCACGCCCAGCTCCTCTGGAGCCCAGTCTCGGGGAGAGGCTGAGAGGTGCGGGTGCTGGGCAAGAAGGCGCTGGGGCCCAGTTTCCAAGGGACATGGAGGATGGGCACCTCCCAGGCGGAACTTCAGGGACCTTGGCTCCCGTAAGGGAGGCCGCAGGCTGCTGGAAGAGCCATGGCCCAGCAGCTTGGCACCCTCAGGTGGCCCCAGGGGCTCTGAGCCATCTCTGAATAAGGTGCTTTCAGCCTGCTTCCCTTTTCTGACTGACATGGATTGAATATTAAAAATGGGCTGGGGGTGAGCAGGAGCTGAGAGGAGAGTGAGAAGAGGTATACCTGCAGCCTGGGCCACTCCTTTAGGGAAGAGGTGGATATAGAAGGGAGTCCTGATGTTCCTCATCTTTTATTCTTGGCTCTGCCTTAAAGAGCCACCTCTTCTCCCTGTGTCATCCAGGATGCCAGACTTGTGAGAGGGTTTTCACATAGGTGTCCCCTGAGGCTTTGCAGGTAGAGTTGGAAGTCAAGAGGGAGAGTACTGTCTTCTTAAAGAGGGATCCGACCATTAAAAAAGATGCTGAAACTTAGAAGAGGAGATGGATTCTGTGGCTGAAGCAGGGAGTTTGAAGAGAGATCTAGAGGGTTCTGTTGTCACTGGGGCTGGGGCTGAGCTTTGGGGGAATGGCACCCTGGAATGGGGAGAAGGAGGCCCCAGTTCTGATGGCTTCTTCCTCCAGAGAGGCAGGTATAAATTAGGCTGATGCCTTAGGCTCTGCATTGCCTCAGAGAACCTTCAAAGTGGCCTTGGTCCTGTGCCCACTCAGAGGGCCTGGGATATGCCCAGGAGGGCTGGGTGGTGAACATCCACATGCCTTCAGGTTGGTCTTCATTCGGACAGCTCCATGCGGTCTGGCCTTGGGCCTGTCACGTTGTATCCCAGGCTGTGGTTTCTGCAGTTGCAAACGGGGTTCACTATTTGCTACCTCAGGCTGTGCTCTCTGGAAACCTACCCTTGTCCCTCTTCTGGGGCAGTGGTGACCTGGTGCTTCCAGAAGACCCGGCTGTCATCCTCTGTAGACTGAGCTGCCCAGATGTCAACATGAGCTTGGGTGCATGGTTTTCTGCTCTCCACAGTCTGGCCACTCACTATGGGTCCAAATACAAAGACGGGGTCTCTTTTATCAGGTGTCCTGGGGACAGGTTTCAGGAGACACCAAGAGTCAATTACCTGACCCAGGGGCCCTTGGCAGTCACCAGTAGGAACTACTGGAGACCTGTCTATCTCGGAGACCTGTTGGGGGAATTGAAACCAGGGCATTGCTTATAGCTCCAAGTGGGAAGATATTTTGGGGGCTAGAGCTTCTTTGGCCAAGCAGGGTTTCTTGAGGGTGCAGCTGCCCCAGGGTATATGTGGGAGATTCTGCTTCTGAGTATAGGTAATTAGTCCTGGACTTTGGTGAGGTGACATCAGGACAAGTGTCTTTTGTTTGGTTTCCCCTAATAGTCAGAATCCACAAACCAGCCAGACAGCCAGCCATGCAGGCCTCTGAGATGGTGCTCTAATCCAAGTCTAATCTAACTCTAACCCTGGGCTGGGCCCTTGAGCAGGGCTCCCGGCAGTGGGGCAGCGGGCATGCAGATCTTAGAGATAGGGCTGCAGTCTCCCTGGGAGAATGGAGTGAGGAGGACTCCTCCTCCATGTAGGAGTGAATACTGTGGGGCTGCAGAGCCAAAAGGAACCCAGGGTGCCAGGCCAGATGCAGATCCAGCTAGCTGACGACAGCACTGTGCCCTGTGTTTGGGGAACCCTTCCTTGGCGAGGAGAGGGTGGCACAGGGGCTGTGCAGAATGGGCAGGGGAATGGGGTGGGTGGGTAGGGAAATGCCATCAGTGGGGGTGCCTGGCCCCCTAGCAGAGCAGCTTTACAAATCATTTCAAGGAGGGACAACCAATCTTGTTCCTGACACAAGCTGGGTCTCAATGTTCTTTTCTGTTGTGCTGTTTTTCTTTTTCCTTTTTTACCTTTTTAAAAGAAATCTGACCAAGACAACTTGGGAGGTTTGTCCTGTCTTTGACCATTTCACTAATCCAACCATGCTCTCCAAGGCTGAGCAGAGACAAGCCTCAAGGCACAGGTTTCTGGTGATAGAATAAAAAATTAAGGTTGTATCTCATGTCTATGGAAGAAGAGGAACATCCTGGGTGCTCTAGCAACTTCTTCTGTGGGGTGTCTCCTGTGCCCATCATGTGCACTGATTGGAGAAGTCTAACCTATGGGCCTTGCCGTACTGGAGTGGGGGGGGGGGATGGAAGGAACTGAAGACAGGTGGAGGGACTTGAGTGTTCCCAGCCTGGGAGCTGGCTCTGGAAGGCACCAGACACTGTCGTTTATAGAGCCTTCCTCCACTTTTGTGTTTGGTTCTTTTGCAGTCCATGTACTGCAGAAGGATGAAAGGACCTGGATAGTGGCTGGGCTGTGTATACTGTGTATACATGGGGGCTGGCTGCTGCGGGGACAATAGCCTACTCCTAATAAAGTTGTAAGTATTTAAAATCCGTGTCCTGTCTCTGTGACTTTATCTCATCTGCAAATACTTTCCCCATATCTACTGAACACCCACCATGTGCCAGCCACAGTGTTAAGCGCTGTAATACAGCAGTGACTGGAACAGGGATAGTCCTGTCCCATGCAGCTCGCTCAGGAGGCAGAGCAACCAGTCAATGGGCAAAGAGACAGGATAGTGGCAGATGTGGTAAGTGCCGAGAAGAGACGAGCTGACAAGAAGAAGAAGAACTGGGGTCTATGTGTGTGGGGTGTATGAGATATAGTGACCAGGGAAAGCTGGCAGAGGATGGGACACAGCCCTGTGGAAGGGGTTCAGGAGGCTTTTAGCCGAGGAGCAGCGGGCTGGGGCTTGGGGGCCAAATGGAATGGGACAGTGGTGAGGGGTCTAGGCATAGGAGAGGCCAGAGGGTTCATCATACAGGGGCTACCAGGCACCTGCTTTAGGAGGAAACCTCAAGTTTCCTGAGGGAAAGTTGCATTCTATTTGGAGAATGTTTTTCTCTTCCTAGTTCTGTTTTGGTCTCACAAAAGTAAACAGTTAGAGGAGGGGCGGGACATGGTTTAAATAACATCCAACTGGGAGTCCAGAAACTTGTGTTGGTCTCAGATCTGAGATCGTCTCTTGGAATCCCACTGTCTGCCTGCGAAGTGAGAAAGATAGATTTAATGTTTAATGTTCCTTTAGGGTGCTTCTAGCTTTAACAGTCTGGGTTTCTAGGCATAGTTATGGTTTAAACTTTGGTAGATGATTATTTGGTGTTAGTTTTGGTTCAGAGATGAAGGGGCTTCTCCTCATGCCTTTTCTGCAGGTAGAGGCAATGGGGAGAATGACTTCTTCAGGAGCCGATTATAGATTGACAGGGGTCCAGGGTGAAGGGTCCAGAGTGGGGGCGTGGACACAACTTCAGCACTTGATAGGACGTTCTGGTGGGAGGAGCTAGTCAGAAGAGCCCACTTAACATGATGAGCTAGATGGAGGTCTGGAAGGGATCGGGAAGGGTTCAGGTTGATGTCTAAGCTAGAAGTCAGCAACTGTAAGATCTTTGTAAAATTACACAAATTGCTGTCACATTCCTGGACTTGTCATTTTGGTTATTCATTCTGTTTTCCATTATAGCAATTGCCAGTGAAACCTTTCTAAGGAAAAGTTCCCATGGGTTGGTTTAGTGGTAAAGGACAACTTTCTCTACTTACAATACTCTTGACATCAGATGTGTAGGGTTTTTTCCCCCACGCCAACCAAATTTTCAGCTTTCTGGATACCAACTGGATGTCCTATAATTTAATTCCTTTCTGACGCTAAGTAGCTGGAATTAGCATCAGACTCCACAGGTTTAAGGGCTCAGTCCCACAAGGCTGCCCTCACTTCAGACATCATTCACAAGTAATGGGTCCCCAGGATATCCATGCTTCTGACCAACTTAGCTAGAGTCGAGGGTTCCCACAATCCCTCCTCAGGGTTGATAATTTGCTGGAATGACTCACAAAACTCAGGGAAATATTTACTTATGCTTACTGGTTTAGAGATATAGAGGATGAGGACCAGAAATGTTCTGAGTTCAGGAGCTTCTGTCCTCGTGAAGTTGGAATGAATGTGTTCACCAACCAGGAAGCTCTCCAAATTCTGTAGTTTAGGGATTTTTATGGAGGCTTCCTTAGTAGACATGATGAGTTGTTAACTCAATTTCCAACCCCCTCCACTCCCAGAGAATGGGGGTGGGGAATGGGGCTGGAAGTTCCAAACTTCTAATCATGGCTTGGTTTTTCTGGTCATCAGCTCCCATTCAGGGGCCACCCAGAAGATCACCAAGTGTCACCTCATTAGAGAAAAAGACACTTCAATTACCCAGGAAATTCCAAGGGTTTTAAGAGTTCTGTGTCAGGAAGGAGGGGGGCAGAAATTTTATATATTTATATATATATATATATATATATATATATATATATATATATATATATATATATATATATATATCTTATTATGTCTCAGCAAATAAAAAAGGAAGGAGAGGAGGCTGGATTCCACCTCAGGAGAACTCCAGGTAAGGTAAGGGGGTAGCAACTTATACTGAAGCCATCTGGAGCAGACAAACCTGCCTGTCTTTTTAAGCTTTGGAGAAGGAAGCACTTTCCTAACTTTGTTGGCCTTTGAAGAGAGGCAGGAACAATTTGCTTTGCAATTCATCCTCAGGAGAGGAATGCTTTTTTGTCCCAGTAGAGAAAAAGCCTCAATAATTGTCAAAAGGTCTTGACTCCCTGGGCGGTGCTCCCCCTGCCCAACGAGCCCTGGCTGGCCCCAAATAGGCTGAGCTGGCAGGGCCAATGGTAGCATGTGTAATCCAGAGAGTCTTTCCATGTCCCCTTGGCTTGCACCCAGCCCTGTTGGGTGAGTCAGCCCTGAAGCCGGCAATCCTAGCAACAAATCCCAGAAGAGCTGAATGCCTCCCTTCAAGCTCTCCAGACACCACCAGATCACCTCCAGCCCATGGCAGTCTCAAGAGGATTGCAATGACATGGTCACTGCTCCCAATCATGGGGCTCCGCTAAGCTAGGCACTCAGCGCCCTGCCCTCTTGGTGCTCAGCTGGGAAGCCATTGCATGTTTTGTTCTCTGTTTGGTAAGTAACGTAAATCACATTCCAAACACTGGCCAGAATGTTGTTGAGGGAGATAAGAGTCCCTGGCTTCCAGAGGCATTCCAGGGAAGAAACAGAACTATGTGTTTCCAAAGGAGAGTGATTTTGGCAGAAAGGGCAAGATGGAGGGGAAGAGAGAAGGGAATCTCCTCATGAAATATCAGATTTGGGAAGATGGTGAATATATTGTCATGGTGAATGGTTGGAGGTTGACGAGATTTTAGCCACATCCTTACATTGGTTCCCCCCCGTCACACACACACCGTCCTTTCTTGGGACCACAATCCTAACAGTATACACAGGGGTTTAGGCCAGTCCTTTCTTGGACTTCTGATTAGCTGACCAGATGACCTCATGGGACTGGGCTTCTAGTCTCAACAGGGAGAACCCATCACTTCATCACTTCTACCATGGGCACTCCAGCAGATACTCCTGATGTGGTGGTGTTGGCATTGAGGATTTTGAGAAAAGAGCCTTTGAGAGGCGTAAAGAAATGGGAGGCACCAGGAGGATAACCTCTTGAAGAGCCTTTTTGGACTAAGTCTGCAATGCCCCAGGCAGCAGTTACACACAGCACCTAGTGTGGGGTCTGGGGCACAGGCAACTCTCAGTGAGTATTTCCAAGATGGAGGCTTCCATGGGGATGTACATCAAACCAAGAGGGATGACGGAGCCCAACTTCTTTGGAGCTGTGTGGGCACTGCTCTAATGTACAACCATGATCCCATTTGGTCTTCACAACCACCCTCTAAGGATTGATCAATCCACAGATGCTGTAACCAGGGTTTCAAAATGTGAAGTAACTTGCGCAAAGTTACCCTGGTGAGTGACAGGGCCAGGATTCAAGCTCAAGCTTGCTTCCTTCCAGAACTGGGCTCTTCACTACTCTGCTGTAAAATCCTTCTTAGCCTCTTGGTAAGGCAGGGACAATTACCTGGTCTTTTCTTTTTCCATGAAAGATTCCTTGGAATAACTTAGGAACATTTCCTTAAAGCAATGTTTTGTGATTTCCAAAGGCCCTATTAACACAATCCAAACTGGCCATGATCCCTATAATCTCTCCTAATAGAAAATCTATTTACTCAGTTGCTTTCTTGTATGCTTCCCAGTGGAGCTTCTTCTGAGGTTCGTAGGGCTGGCATTTGGCTTTTGGAACCACCCGGCCACCAAATGAACCTGGAGTTCAGAGGCCTTGGAAACCTCAGATGGTTTGAGCCACTTTGAGTGTCAAAGGGGCAGAAATGATGAGAAGTGAGTAAGACTCTGGCAATGGAGTCCAGCAACCCCCTTGACTCTTTATTTTCTCTGGAAACATCCAGAAGTTTTTCTCCTTTCCTTTCCTTAAAATAATTATTAAATATTTAAGACATACAGGAGGAACAAGGAAAAATAAAATAAAGCTTAGGTGCTTTATTTTATTAGTCACCCAGTGTAAGACATAAAACATCGCCAATAGTGTTGAATCCCCCTGTGGAAGCCTCTCTATTTATGCCCTTCCCTCTTTGGATAACTGCCATCTTGAATTGCTGTTATTGGTCCCTAGCCATTCTTTTATTCTTTCACTACACATATTTGTATCCCTAAAAATGCATAGTTTGCTCTGCATGCATTTCAACTGTATATGCAGGGTAGTACCTGCATATACCGGCATATTCCCAGAGCTTTTCTGCAACTTACTCTTTTTGTTTAATGTTACATCTGGTGGAGTCATTCCTGTGGATACATGTAGTTCTAGTTCAGTTGTTTTTCAGTCTGGTTTATGATTTCTTATTTGGATATGAGTGATGGACATTAGGTTGTTTCCAGAATTTTGCTAATACAAACAATTGTGCTGTGAAAATTCTTGTACATGTATATTACGTGAGAGATTTAAAGAGTGAATTTCTGGGCCATAGGGCATGTGCATGTTCAACTTTATTGTGAGCTACTTCCAAATTGTCCTCCAAAGTGCTTTTAGCATGCCCAAGTTTTGCAAATTTGCCTTTCTTTTTTCAAGGGCTGCCTTCTTCACCAATCTGGGTTGCTTCCTGACCCACTGTTAAGGAGGATTCACATTTCTACAGTTTCTCTCTTTCTATCTTCCTCTCCCTCTCCTCCTCCCCACCCCTCACTGTCAGCCAGGATTCCAGCAGGAAGTAGATGGCTCACTCCAATTAGGATAATTTGAGGAGAGAGTTGAATAAAGAACAGCTTACAAAGGTATGGGCAGGGGTTAGGGAAACCCCAAGAACTAGTGCAGCACCGCAGGCTGTTAACTGTTGAGCTTAGTTTCCACACTGGCTCTGAAAGGTAAGAGGAGAAAGGTTGTGAGGACCAGAATTAGAAAGGTCT